TATAGACTTTCTCCTGCATTTACCGGCGCGCTTTGGGGCACGTTTAAACTCCCGCAAATTCCCGACAACTATCGATTGACCCGTATTGTCGATCAACGAGGCCAGCGCACGCGCACAGTAGTACCTGTGACATGGATAGAGGAAGAGAATGGGGTATGAAATTCTTGGGACGTAATGTTTACGTGGGCGGAGCCAATAGTTGACACTGATTCAGGACAAAGTCCTATGCTTCATCGACTCTGGGGCAGCGTTTCCTGTTTCGGATATCACATATGAAATGGAATTTAGTGAGCCAAAAATGGAGGCGGGTCCTGAATTTGATCAAACTTCGTATAGAGTACAGGTATCTTAATAATTTAGAAGTTTTGATCATCTCTCAGGAAAATCCTTAATTCAGGTCTTCCCGGATGCATGGCCTCAGCCGGGCTACCCCTTTGCTGTTATTACAGCCGAAGCGCCATCATCATCTAACCTAACCTACTCTTTTTATACTTCTGACAATGAAAAAGCCATAGCTGTTGATCCTCACACAGGTAGCATGAAAAGCAAGTAAAATTTCGAGAAAATAAATTTTCATTTTAAGGAGAACTCTTCCTAACGTCAACACTGCCACCTGGAGACGAGTTTTGCGCAGTTCTGGTAGTAAGAGACCAGTTTGGCCAAGAAAAGAGCGTACCAGTGGCGATAAATACAGGTTTGGATTACTAGGAATTCGTTGATTATTCCAATTTAACAGCACATATTAGTGAAAGAGACGTAGAATGCTTTACGGAGGGGAGAGGGGGAGGAGGTGGTGCGAAACGAGGAGGGGATGGGGAGGAAGGAGGGCGAATTTTTCAAAATATGAATTTTTCAGGAAGAAAAAGTTTTCATAGAGTAGCAGATATCAGAATATCTTAAGACGAGATTTTTCCATTGAAAATTACAAAATTCTCACAAAACTCCTCAGAAAAAGAAATTGGTTTTCGATAATTTATGAGTCTTGCAGACTTTAGAAGTGCGAAAAATTTCCTTTCTTGTATAAATGCTAGAATGTGGGCGGGACGCAATTTTCTAAGGGAAATGTCACAGAAATTCTCAAAAGTTCTTTTAAGAAGGGAAAAGATTCTTTGAGAAATTGGGCCTTTTTTGAATTCTAGATTCCGATTCAGATTTGGAAAAGAATTCTCTTTTGAAATTTTAAAGTTCTGTGCGTATAGAGTGAAGACATGGAGAGTGCTGCTTGGTTAAAGATGCAGATTAATTTAATGATTAGATTATTTGCATATATGGTTGTGATTATTGCAAGTAATTTACCACTTTTTTCTTTTACGAGTTTTCATTGGGACAAACGCAAAGAAACGGAGAAAAAGGTCGT